GGATTCACCTCTGATGGACCAGATTCCATCCTTGTATGCTCTATCACACTTGAAAAATGAACCTATCTCTTCTTTCTTGGTTCCTTCAGACTCCACTTTTGGTTTTGGTGAAACCTAGGCCTACATAGGGCAATAAGGGATACAGACTTGGACAGCTTGTAACCTTTGCTAGCCACCCTTGAGAATGTCTTCCTAAATTCTGATAAGGAAGACACCAGATTTTGGACCCCTTTTACCTCTGGTACTTTCTCTTGTGCTTCATTCTTTGAAACCTTAACTCAGCCTTTTGTCCCTTTTGGGTTGTCCTTTCCGGCTAAGGAAATATGGAGCAAGCCTATTCCTCCTCGGGTTGGTTTTTTTTGTTGGGAAATTTTCTTGGAAAGAATAAACACATTTAACTTACTTCAGAGAAAGTGACCCAACTATTGTCTACTTCCTAATAGATGTGCTCTTTGTAAAGCTGATGGAGAATCCAACTACCACCTCATGGTCTCTTGTAAGGTTACTAAAATTGTATGGGAGTGGGTTTTCTCCCGCTTTGGGTGTTCTTGGAATCCTCCGGAGAGTGTCCAAAGTTTGTTCTCTCCTTTTTTCAGATGGCCTAAGAAGCGAGGGAAGACTATGTGGAGGAGTATTAGGGCAGCTGTGTGCTGGTCACTGTGGGAAGAAAGAAATTCACGTATTTTTTCAGACAAGGAAAGAACCCTGGAAGAACTGTTAGACCTAATCCTTTTAAGGGCTGCCCACTGGCTAAAATCTTTGGAGTTGTTTTCAAACTTTCCTGTGGATGACTTGCTAAGAAATTGGAAAGAGATTGCTTCCACTGCTAGGTGCAAGAGGACTCTTTGTCCCTCTTAGTCCCCTCCCCCCTTAGGTTCTATAAAGTTGAACTTTGATGGCAGTAGTGTAAGGAATCCAGGGCTCTCTGGGATTGGAGGAGTTTTTAGGAATGAGGATGGGATTGTTATTGCTTTGTTCTTTGGCCCTATTGGAGAAGGTGACTCTCTTAGAGTTGAGATCCTTGCAGCGCTTGAAGGAATTCGAAGAGCAAAGGAATTAAATATCAGTCGTTTGATCCTAGAAGGTGATACGAAGGTGGTGGTTAGATAGTTGAAGAAAGAAGACAGTGGTTTGTGGAACTATAACAGTGAAAAGAAACAGTTCTTATGACTGTGTAGGGACATTGAGATACAATACAGCTGGGCGAAGAGGAGTGCCAACTCATTTGCGGATGGGTTGGCCAAGCAAGGGGTGAATAGGGAGTCTGTCTTTTGGGCTAGTTTTTAATTTTTTTTTCTCTTTGTATTTTGTTAATGGGGAGCTAAGATATTTTATCTCCCCTCTTGTATCCATAATCCCTCTTCTCTTTTAAAATTAATGAAGCTGTTGTTATTGATAAAAAAAATGAGAACTAAAGAGATATTTTTCCTAAGCTGGGTTGGGTCAGATTGTCTCTATCCCAAAGGTTCACCTTGGAGGAGATAAAAGAAGCAATGTTCTTAATGCATAATTCAAAAGCACCAGGACTAGATGGTTTCACTATGGCTTTCTACCAAAAATGCTAGGAGATAATCAAAGATGATTTATTGGACGTCTTCAATGAATTTTGGGTTAAAGGTGAAGTAAATCCGGGTGCTAATGCCACATTTATTGCAATAATTCCTAAGAAGAAAGAAGCTTTACATCCAAAGGATTATAAACCAAAAGTTTGGTGGGAAGCCTTTATAAAATCCTAGCAAAGGTCCTCTCTAGGAGACTGAGCAAGGTGTTGCCACTTGTGATTTAAAAAAATCATGGAGATTTTGTCCAGGGGAGACGAATAATAGACCAAATTCTGATTGCAAATGAATGTGTAGAGGAAAAAGAGGGAAAGAAGGGAAAAAGGTATAATCTGCAAACTAGATTTGGGAAAGGCTTATGATTTTTTAAACTGGGATTTTCTTTCGGAGATTTTGGAGAAAATGGGCTTTGGAGTTAGGTGGCGGAAATGGATCAGAGGATGCATCAGTTCTTGTCACTATTCTATCCTGATTAATAGAGTTTCAAGAGATTTCTTTCCAGAAAAGAGAGGTTTAAGGCAAGGGGATCCCCTCTCTCCTATGTTGTTCACTATGGTGACTGATGTGCTAAGTAGAATGATCTCAAAAGGCAGATGAAAGTAATCTCCTAAGGGGTTGAAGAGTGTGAAGGCAAGAAGTGATCGTGATACACTTACTTTATGTGGATGATATTATCATTTTCTGTGAGGAAGGAATTGAGATTTGGTGGAGAAATTTAAAGAGGTCATTTCTGGTTTTGAGTGTTGCTCCAACTTGAGAATAAACTTAAGGAAGAGTTTTTTGGCTGGGGTAAACTTCCAAGAGGAGGAGTTAGAAGCATTAGCTGAATGCTTGGGTTGTCAATTAGACTCTTGGCCTTTAGTTTATTTAGGATTACCCCTAGGTGGAAACCCAAAATTTGAAATTTTTTGGAATCCTGTCTTGAGGAAGTTTGTAAAGAAGCTTGCAGTTTGAAAGAGAAATTATATTTCATTAGGGGGGAGGATTACTTTCATTAAATTGACACTGGCAAACCTTCCAACCTATTTCCTCACCATCTTTTGTATCCCAACCAAAGTAGCAAGGAAGTTAGAGAAAATCATGAGAGATTTCCTTTGGGTAAGACCGGGGAGGAAAGGAAAGACCATTTGATGAAGGAGATGGTGGGTAGACCAAAGAGACAAGGGGATTAGGCTTAGGAAACTTAAAACTTAGGAACACTGCTTTACTTGGGAAATGGTTGTGGTGATTGCCTCAAGAGAAGAGTTTGTGGCACAAAGCCAGAAAGTCGTAGTAAGCATTCATGGTTCTTTGAGCAATGGATGGGATGCAAAGGTCTCGCCTCACGCTTCAGCTTCTTCACCTTGGAAAGCCATTCACGAGGTATTGCCAATTTTCTTAAATTTCACAAAATTTTCTTAAAGTCCTTTTTTGGGAAGATGTCTGGTTAAGTCATACAACCTTAAAATCAATTCCCTTTGCTCTATTCACTTTCTAGTCTTCAAAAGAAACCCATTGCTTTCTTTTGGAGCTTTTCAACTTCAGGTTTAAATTGGGATTTCGGCTTTAGAAGGGGTTTAAGGGGTAGAGAATGTAGGTTGTGATAGAATTGCTAAAAAAGTTAGGGTCAGTCTTCTTGGATTCAAGGGTGGATGATAACAGAATCTAGAAACCTTCACCATCTGGTTTGTTTTCATGTGCTTCTTTTATTGACTCCCTAGTTCTCTTAGACTTAGGGGAGGAGGAAGAATTTTTCCCAGCGAAAGATATTTGGAGCAAGCCTATTCCTCCAAAAATTCAAGCCTTCTGTTGGGAAGCTTTCCTTGAAAAGATAAATACCTGGGATGTGCTTCAAAGAAAAATGCCAAACAAGTGCCTGTCTCCTCATATGTGTATCTTATGCAAGGCAAATGGTGACACAATTCCTCATTTACTTATTTTTTGTCCCTTTGCAAATTGTGTTTCGACATGCATTTCTTCTCTCTTTGTTTACAGGTGGGACCCCACAAGATTTCACTATGTTGTTCAGCCCAAGTTTCTTTAGACAAGCAAAAAAGAGAGGAAGATTACTGTGGAAGACAGCCAGGGCAGCAACTATTTGGACACTATGGGAAGAAAGAATGAAAGATTGTTCAAAGAAAAGTCCAGGAGTTATTTATCAAAAAAAAGTCCAAGAGTTTAGAAGACATTGTATAAGGCATTAAGATCAAAACGGCAAATTGGGTAAAAACCTGGGAAGATTTCCATTTGGTGATAGTGACTTATATTACTAGAGCTTGTTTTAAGTAGCAAATTCAGCTTCTGTGAAAGACAAAGTAGTAATGAACTGGAAGCCTCCTCAGCCTAACAGATTAAAGTTTAACTTTGATGGAAGCTCTATAGGAAATCCAGGACTGTCAGGAATTGGAGGGGTTTTTCAGGGATGATGCAGGAAAAGTGGTAACCTTGTTCTTAGGGCCGATTGGAGTAGGGGATTCTTTTAGCGAAGAAATAACAGCCTTACATCAAAGGTTTGAAAGTAGAAAAGCAGTGGGGATTTAAGAATCTGGAAATAGAAGGTGACTCCAAATTAGTAATTTCTTGGATGGATGACAGCAGCCCAGGTGGGTGGAAGTTCAGACATTTAATCAGAGAAATCAAGACTTTAGCAAAGGACCTTGAGGCAAGCTTTGACTGGGTTAACGGCAAATGGAATGGCAGATGGGCAAAACAAGGGGTGTATAGGGATCAATTTTTTGGGGCAGATTTGGGTTAAGTTGTTCCCATGGATAAATGGTTTTTCTTGTTTCTAAATTTGTTCTAAATTCTATGATGTAATTTCTTTCTTCATACCTAATGAAGTTTACTCTGTTTACTGATAAAAAAGGGTTTATAGGACAACTTCACAATGTATTAGTTTGTCTATAACCTTAGTTTCTTGGCTTTATTTAATGATTTGGAACAAGATAATAATTTAAAAAGGTGTGTACATGCTTCTTTTATCATTTCATAAAACATCATTCTATATTTTTACATTTTTACAATGTTTTCACCATGTCTATGATTTTTGCAATAGTTTTTTGATCAAATAACAGCATAATTTTATTAATGAAAGAAGAAAGGAGTGCACGATATATAGAAATTCAAAGGGAATTTCTGGGGGGAGAGATAAGAGATTTTTTTTATTAAGGAGAGATAAGAGATATCTCTCACTGACCTATGATTTTACAATATTTCCATATGATATTTCCAACATTTCCGACATGTTTCCTATATTTGGCCAACCGACATTTCCACTGACACTAGCATTTTAAACCTTGGGTGAGATTGCAAAGATCTTGTTTAACAGTTATAGCTGACTTGAAAGTTTGTCAACAGATGAATGACAACGAATAAACAAGAGTACCTAACTGAAAACAAGATAACATAATTTGTTGAAATAAACAAGGACAAAACAAACTTCTAGTAAGATTAAACACTTACCAGTAGATACTGTGTTACTACAAGACCCCAAATTCTTATCATTGTGTAAATTAGTTGAACTGCTTTCCCTCATCGTCCTTTTACGCTGATCTAAAATTATCTTAAGTTTGTCTTTTATCTGGTTCTTTCCACCCAAAGAAACTTCCATGTTCATGGCCACAGTCATGTCACTTATTGCATCTTCAAAATTTTGCAAAGAAGCATTTGCTGTACCTCTCCGATACCATGCCTGAAAGGTGAAGGTAGAAGTGTGATTACAATGATCCAAAGACCAAGACATATAACTTAGACAATAAAGCAAGTTGTTGCATGTGAAATAAAGCACAATGTGAGGCTCATGCTTTAAGAAATGCACAGTTAACACACACACACTCAGTGTTTTGTCCTTACCATGCCTATGTAACATAGATTGTTAGATACTCTCTTCAATTTGTCGATTGATGGCCTTCATTCTTCTTCTATATTTACATTGTTGAGTTGGTCCGGTTTCAAGTTATTGGGCCTAAATTATTTATCTTTTATTTTTAAGTTGTTAAGTTAGGAAGTTATTGGGCTATAAGCCCATTAGTTTATGTTTTTTAGTTGTGACTGTTCAGCTACTTAAGTAGCCGCCCTACTAAGGGCATTCTTGTAATCTCTCATTATTTTAATTCAAGTATATAATACAAAGAGGGGTTGGCGGCCAGAACTAATTTTCAATTCTGGTTGACATCCCACTCTCGTTATTCTCCTCTCTTCTTCTCTGCTGCTGAAACCTTTCAACTTCTACTTTTCTTCACAAGGATTCATCTAAAACTGCTATCAGCAACTTCTACTTGGTATCAGAGCAGGCCGAAGGTTCCTTGGGCTGCTCTATCATGCAGCCCTAGATCGGCCAACTGCATGGTGATTTGAGAGGCTAATCGAAGATCTCAGGTAAACCCAGTTTGTGGAGTTTTTGGTGGATCTGTTTTGCCCTGTAGCTGGTCTAGGGTTTCCCATTAAATTCAGGAAAAACTGAAGAAAGGGGGAGAGTCCTGTTTTTATAGGACTCTTCAATTTTGACCTAGGAAGTGGTGCCCTAATTTTTTAGGGTTCCTTGGAGTTTTCTGAAGAGGGCAGTTCAGGTCCTACCTTTTTTGGAGGTTTCTGGAGAGAGCGGCAGCCTCTTCTCTCTTTTTTCTCGTCCCACAGAAAATGAATCTTTTGTGTGAGGATCATCTGGGGTACCAGAAGGGAGTCTGTGATACCTGAAGGGATTTATTTCATATTCTATTATCTTGAAGTAACTTTCTAACCCTTTTTTGAGAATTATGGAGGGTAACGGAGTTGAAAACAAACTCGAGGGTGAAATGGGACCAATAGGAAGAGGTGTCGGAGACCTTTTCGAGGCTGGGACCATTACTAAAGTTAAGTTGGATGGTTCAAATTACTTAGAATGGTCACAATCTGCAAAGATGGCCATTGGTGCTCGTGAGAAGTTGAGGTATATCACTAGTGAGGAAGTGAAACCCGAGACTAACAATTCCTAGTGGGTACAAGAAAACTATATGGTAATGAGTTGGCTGTGTAATTCAATGCTGCCCCATATAAGTAAATTTTTTTTGTGGGCAAATACAGCTAAGGAAACCTACTCACATAGTGAAAATGTTCCTAGGACCTATCAGTTAAGGAATCAGATTATTGCTACCAGGCAGGGAGATAGACCTATTGCTGTTTATTTTTCATCCCTTAAAACTCTGTGGCAGGAGATTGACCATCTGGAGGCAATTGTTTGGGAAACCACTAAGGATGCAGCTGCCTACCAGAAGCTCCTAGAGAAGTATAGGGTTTTTGAATTTCTTGCTGGACTTAATCCCGAATATGATATTGCAAGGCAGCATATCCTTTCTAGGGACAGTGTTACTCTCTCTCAGGCATGTGCCTTTGTATCAAGGGGAAGAGAGTAGGAGAAATGTGATGATGAAGAATTCTGGTTTTGAACAATCAACCATGGTCAGTACTGTGAAACCCAAACAGAGTGGAGACCGGAATGGTAGTGAAATCAGGAAGGAAGATAAGAAGGATTTTATTTGTGATTACTATAAGAAGCCTAAATACACAAGAGATACATGTTGGAAGCTTCATCCTCATCTTGTGCCGAATAAAATCAAAAACAAGAAGGGAAATGCACACATGGTAGTCACTGGCGACATACCTAGCCCTCCTACTACAACTACTCTGGAGTTTATTGCAGCTGCTGCAGTGAGGGCTGAACTTGAGAGATATTGATAGTTCCTGAATCAGCGAGATACAGTCAGCCCTAATTCAGCAACATATGGATAGCTGGGTACAGGTGGTTCTGGTGCAACACACTCTACTTCCTTTGCTCACACAGGTAGTTGACATGCCACTGCAAACTATGATTCTACTACAGGTAAAGAGGGACCTCCTTGGATTATAGATTCTGAAGCCTTAGAGCACATGACCCATAGTTCCACTATTTTTTCTTCTTACCAACTCTGTTCTAGCAGAGACAGAGTCTCCACAACCGATGGATCTCATGTTCCCATTGCTGGGAAGGGGTTTGTCAAGATTACTGATTCCATTTCCCTACCCTCTGTCCTTCATGTTCCTGAATTGAGTACTAATTTGTTATTTGTTAGTAGTTTGACTAAGAATCTAAATAGCTTAGTAATTTTTTCTTCTGGTCATTGTGTTTTGCAGGACTTGAATTCAAAGAGGACAATTGGGAGTGGCCGTGAAGTGAATGGGATCTACCTCCTAGATGTGCTTCCTCATGATCAGGGTCATCATGTCAGCAGGGATAGTGAGTCAGGGTCTGTGAGTCAGATTATGCTTTGGCATAATCGTTTGGGTCATTTGTCCTTTTCTTCTTTACGTTCCTTATTTCCAAAGCTTTTTGAATCTATTAATTTGTCTAGTCTAGAGTGTGAAGGTTGTCAGCTTGGAAAACATTGTAGACATTCCCATAAAGCTAGTAATAAAAGATGTTCATCTGCTTTTGATGTTATTCATTCTGATGTGTGGGAGACCATACCATGTTCCTTCTATGGGTGGTTATCGATATTTTCTTTTATTTGTGTAAAGAGACTGGGCCGAATGGGTCCTAGTATCTTCTCTTGTAATATTTTTTCTATTTTCCTGTTAGCTAATATACCTCTCTTAATGGGCCTGTTATTTCTTTTTGTTTGATCTCTTTATGTTACTGCCTAGCTGGCCGCCCACTTAAGGGCATACTTGTAATTATTTTAACATTAATTTTTAGTAAAAGGGATTAGAGAAGAAAGGGAAGGATTATTCAAACCTCTCTTCTTCTTCCTCCTCTTTTCTCCATCTTCTTCTCTTGTACTGCTGCTCTTACTTTTCTTCCTCCTTTTTCTCTCTTAACTTTTCAAGTTTATACCTATTTTTGATGACTGGTTTACATCTTGGTATCAGAGCAAGTTTCTTTCTTCCTTGTTTTCTTCTTCCTCTTTCCCCATACACCCTTAGATTAAGAGAGTGTATGGAGAGATAGGTTCTCTATAGCTCAGAGGATCTCTGGCCTAGTTGGTAGAGGGTTTGGAGAGTTTAAATCTGGCTGGATATTGCCAAGAAGTGGTGTTGTTCTGTTGCTGCCCAAAACCCTAGCCGAYTAGAGATTTTCGAARGTACAGGTAAAGGTGAAGCTTTGGGTGTGGCGTTCTGTGCTTGGGAGGTGTCTTTTGACTCCTAAAAGAGGGCAGTTCAGGTTTGGAAGAGATTGGGAAGTGAGTTCAAGCATTTGGGTTCTGGTTTGACTTCAAGTAAGTTTATATAGACAAAATTTCTGGTTCTTTGATTTTCGTTTGATTAATGGAGCCATACGGAAGTGAGTTCAAGCAAGTGCCGATTTCCAGCCTTGGCTCGGTAGATTCC